AACCCTGAGCTACAGATATTCTCTTCTACTGGAATTTCTTTAATATAGCTGGGATTAAGCAGAAGATACCTCCCGCCCCCCCAAAAGAGAGCAAGTAATTAGACAGCTCCTATTTCTTTGTTAAAAAATTTAAATTTAATTTTCTCAATTAAAAATACACTTTAGTCTGCAGATCAGTACTTCTCAAGTGCTGAATGTGGATTAGGAGAAAATGGAGGGTCCATTTAAAGAGATGAATATGTTAAGGAAATTAAGTGATACCATTTTAAATTGAAGGAAGCGGGTTTGGGGCTTCAAAATCCAAGCCATTTTCAGCCTGTTCCTAAACTGCAGTATTAAGAGCAGACAATATAACTGGGTTTATTTTCAGCTGCATGCCTGTAGCTTCAAGAGGGCAATGCTGGAATAGATTTGTATTGACAAAAATATTTAATAATAATAAAAATAATAATACCCCAGTCACATTGTTTACAGGAAACAAAAAAACGTAGCTGTGTTCAAAAGAAGATGCTTCTCCTTTGCTGGCTAATCGCAATTACAGAAATCAAAGGTTTTTATTGATCTTTAGGCAGCTCCCACTGTTTCTGTTGTGAAGCGGCTACCAATTTGGAAATTTCCAGTGAAGACAAGAAGGACGGTTGCAGCTTTTCTTCTCCCTGGTTCAGACTGCTTGGCCTTTTTATATGCCAAGCCTGCCCCTGTACGGTTTCAAGACTTTTTTTTTTTGAGAAGTACACATATTGTGCTTTTCTGTATCTAAATGTTTAGAACTTGAAAAGCAAATTCATGTTAATAAAGCTCTCCTAAAGAACATGTTGTGTGCTTCAAAATACTAAAACGAAACAAAAAAAATGTTTATTGCTCACAAATGCTCACTTCAAAATATTTGCACTAGAGCCTCCTGTAGAAAACTCTTGCTGACAGCCTTTTAAGCGTTATATGAAACTTAACGAAATTCTTGCAAGCAATTCACATGAACAACAACAAAACTACTTTTGGGTTTCTTTTTTTCCCCTTCTTTCTCTGTTATGGGTTATCTGTTGCACAGTGCTTTTTATTTTGCACACATGTATATGGATTGTGTGCAAAATAAGCAATAGAACTGAGATGCAGGCTCTGTTTGCATGATACAACCATGGTTAATATGACAGTGGCTTCTGGGTTCACTAGGCTAAAGGAGAAAGATGTCTTTTGGTTATGCTTGACTCCTGATGATTATGCGGATACATCTGTGCAGTTTCTTTGTTAGTCGTTCAAAAGTAGTTTGCTATTACCGTTCTGCAGAATCTTATCCGATGTCCTGGTCTAGCATCATAGGAAAGTGTGTGGAATTTGCTATATGGAATGGAGGAAGTTAACAAGCTTGGATACCTGCAAACAAATTGAGCCCAGTTGTATGGCAATGAAATAGGACTACAGATGATTTCAACCATAATTTGGGGTGAAATTTATACATTTTGGCGTGGTGGAGGACAGGCCCAGGATGACGTAGGAAGAATCTTCCCCAATGCATCATTTGAGTTTTCTCTGTTTCTCTCCACACCCGCCCTCTGTCCCGCTGACTTGTCATCCTGATTACTCACAGACACAGCCTTGCCAATCTTGCAGAGCACGTCCACCCGGCAATGTCTCCTTCAGACACTTTGAAAGGTCCCCAGACATTTGTTCAAGCCACGCTGAGCTCAGGAAAAATTATTTCTCAGTGTATTCACTGCTCGTATGTGATGTGGAGGTAATAGCTCTGATATACCAAACTAGATTGTTTGAGATTTTATAAATGAGATAATCAGAAGCCTATTGAACCAAGAATAATATGTACCACTGAAAAACCAATGTGATGTAGAGGTTGAGGTGCTGGACCAAGACTCTGAAAACCTCAGTGCAAGCTTATTTTCCATCATGGAAGCCATCCATCCATCCATCCATCCATCAAATTTGTCACCACCCATCTCACTGTGGAGTGACTCTGAGAGGTTTACAGTAAAAATAGAATAAACATTAATTAAAATAAACATTAATTAAATATGCTAAAAACAAACTTCCTTTGTTGACCACTAGGTGACCAACAGCCTGTCACTCACACTCTGCCCAGCTGATCTTGCAAAGTTGCTGTGAAAAATGAAAGGGGATACCTTGTATTGACTCCTAGGGGGAAAAATGGCTATAAAACTAAAATAATAATAGCATTACGCTGACCACCTAACTAAAACAACACTTCTGGATTTTGGATTAATTGATCCTGATTAAATTTTATATGCTAGCTTTATGATCGCCATCATCAAAAAAAAATTATATTACTTATTTCTAGTTTTGTGAATTGTCCAATACAATAGCTTCTTACAAGATTGACTATCAGATCCTATCTTCTTCTGCATGTCATTTCTCTAGTACTGTCAGATGCTAAATCACAGTGCACAACAACAATCAGCTGTCCCCCTGCCCCATGAAACATATAGTGTGTCTTGACAAATGTTATCAAATACCAAACTTCAAAATATTTTTTTCAGATGCCAAACACAGTTCCAATTGGAAAGATACCAAAATTATGCAAATGATTGAATTATTACCCACAATTCTGAGATCAAATGCAATCGGATATCAAGAAGGGTAACTGTAAGCAGATCCTAGATTATTCAACTACAACTTTGGCAAAAATATGCCCAGACTGGTGAAAATAAACAGCTGTTTCTTGTAGTTTTAGAAATTACCTGGACAGTTTACTACTTAAACATCCTTTGCTTTATGAATTATTGGTCCCCATCAAGAAATGTCCCAATCATTCAGAGCTCATTAGATGTTTCTGTCCTCACAAGGATGATAAAGGCACCCTATTTAGAAGTCATGATTGCTCATTAAGCCCCACTTTTACTGCACTTTCAGACGCTGCTTGCTGACATCCTTAATGACTACGACAAGTGTGATAATTGAATGATTCCCATTTATGATGTTCGTGTGACTTTGAAAAGTAGGCGTACCTGATTTCAAAGACTACAGCACTGATGGTTATTTACAGCTCCTTTTATGTTGGGTGTGGCCTGTTAATCACAAAAACAGATCTGCTGTTTTC